AAAGAATAATTTTTCTAAGTGCGAGACACTTGAAGACAACTGAAGAAATAAATGAAGGATTTTAGACTCGAAATTGGACAGATTAGATGAAAGAGAGTAAGAGGGATTAGGATGACAGAGTAGATGTTTCAAATCAGAATCAAGACAGTTGAATCAGGGAAGCTGAACTTCAAGCAAATGTACGTTTTCCAGAGTTGGTAGGAGGATGCAAAACATGAAGCATGGCACAGAATTGGCGGGCACATCCGGGACATTTCTATTGTTTTGGCGCGCGGTTCGAATCATGTTCACTTGACTGTGACTCGTTTACAGAGTAAAATTAAAAGAGAATTGGCTAGCTTGATTAGTTTAAGAAGCTCTAGTAGTTACACCAGAAGAGCGAAGAGTAGCCAAGAAATCATGAAGCTGCTTTTAAGACTAGTGGGTGAACTGGGGTTTTTCACGATATTAAACAGAACAACAAGCTTCCTAAGGTTAATAAGAAGTGAGATAGGCAGCCACTTTAGTTTGGCAGATGAGTTTGAAAAAGCAGCATCGGGTATTAGACTGGCTGCTCGTTTTTGAAGACGTAGCAGACACAAAAGATGAGAAAAAGAACAATTGCCCCACGCACTGGAACAGTAGAGAAAGGTAGAATGAATGCAAGAATTATAATAACGAAGGGAACATTCTTCAGTATGAAAAGGTTGAATTCTCCTCAATAGATTTGTGAACAGATATTATCAATGTGATTATCCCAGGATAGAAAGGAATCAACTGAGATACCAAGAAAATTTGCATGTTGAACTCTTATTCCTGACGTTATATTTTTATCGTAAATATGATAAATATGATTGAGTGTAGCTCGGTCAGGTTCTGTCAGATACGTGGGGGCATCTGTGCTGCATTGCCATTAGCTTTGGAATATGAACTGCTGCACTGGCAGAGCCTCTTAAAGAAGCAGTGAATGACACCATTATATTCTTAACAAGCATACAGTTGAGATTTTTTCCTCGAAAAAGCATTTCAAGATTTTAGGCCGATTGGTAGCACATCACTGTTTTACATCTGCAATCTCCCTCCCCAACCCCTTCCCCACCGGCGAATATAGTTGTTTGTTGGTTCTCAGCTCCTGTCCACGCCGTGCTTTGAGGGTCTCCACTTTCCGGTTTTTCTTATATTAATTTGTTACATGCTAAAATATGAATGCCTAATTATGCCATATGCCATGAACTACCAATACTTAAGCAACACTCTGTTCTGAATTGTCTGTAAACGTTTGTGTGTCACTAGAACGTACTGACACTTAAAACAATTAAATTATCGCGGTTCAGTATACTAGAAAGCAATGGCAAAAGTTATGAAATTAATTTTCCCATTATTCAATACAGGATAATGTCATCACTAGTACTTCATATTTTCCCAAATTAGTCAACGGTAACTCTTGATAAATTATATGTAAATGTGTCACTGAGCAAGCGTCCCGGGGGGGGGGGGGGGG